GCGACGATACCGCGCTTTAACTATGTAAAAGTCCGATTTATAAAATGAAATATGTGATATATATTTTGAGGCGACGAAGCCAAAAAAATGTCAGCCATGTTCTCGACATTAGACTTATCAATTCATTGCACCAGAACTATGTAAAACATGTTCTAATATGTTTCTTATTATTTACTATATTTTTTTGCAGTTTTTTTACCTTTCTTGGTTCCAATCATGAACTATTTTAACATGTCATTGTATCCGAGCAAAGTTGTCAAATATTTTTCATGTGTCATTGAAGATGCTATTGCTATGAGGAAGACTACTAAAGATATTAACAATGTAAGTGTATTTGTTTACACGGTGAAACAGAGAATGAGTGAGTCATCTATCCACTGTACGTCAGTCGAATATTGATAGTGGTAAGATATTAATGTCACTATTTTAATGATTTTCTCAAATTGTCGACGGTAGTTCTGAGCCACGAGAGTCTTACATGGTACCACCGCTGAGACGTCAGTGGTTCATGATAACACATTGATCTAATTTCCATGAACCTAGCAACCTTGTGTTGCGCTGTAAGACACTCCTGTTGCGAGAATTACTTTATATATCACATTGAACACTCAAACAGAAGTCCGGGGTGCATTGTGATACAACTTGTAATGTGAACACAATATGATTAATTATTCATACATTATTTTCAGCAGAGAATCGACTTCTTACAACTAATGGTAAACGCCCATGAAGTATATGACCAGCATATGGCAAACAAAGATAAAGAAATTGATGAAGACGAAGGCGAGAACAAAGTTGACTTTGTCAAAGATGGTCCTTCTTCTCAAATAAAACTTCACAAAGGATTCACGGAGGATGAAATATTAGCACAGGTTGGGTGGTTGTTGTTGGTATTGTTAAACTCATTTAATTGAATCATCTACCATCCACACATAATCGAGTTGAACACATGCCAATTTCTTAATATTTAAAAAAACAAAACAATAAAATTGTCATTTTCTTTTCTTCAGTCATTAATGTTTTTCTTTGCTGGATATGAGACTACTAGCTCATTGATGTCATTCGTTAGTTATAATCTTGCCACCAACCCCGAGGCACAGGAGCGGTTGCAGAGAGAAATCGACGATGTCATCAGTAACTCGGACGATCTAGGATACAATACTATTGCCAGTATGAAATACCTTGATATGGTTGTTATGGAAACATTGAGAATGTACCCGTCTTCAATCAGGTTTGTATAATAGAAGATGCAGTATTTTCTCCTGTATATGGACAAATTCTTGACTTTTTCATTATCGTGAAATAAAATTTATTTTGTTGGTTTTCTTGTAGATTTAATCGACAGTGTAATGAAGATGTTAACATCAATGGAATATCGATCCCCAAGGGTATGCTGGTAGCTGTCTCTATCTATTCAATTCATCATGATTCTGATATTTACCCTGACCCAGAGAAGTTCATCCCAGAACGGTGAGTGTGTCTAAAATGATAGTAACATACAGTGTACATATAATGAGGGCGTATAGTTGCAATTAATCATCGAGAACACACCACTGCATCGCGCAGACCAACGAACGTGTTGGTGGGGTATCGTGACGTCACGAGTAAATGCAGTGAACGAGTAACATAAGTAGTTTGCATGTTCTGAACTGCTGCAAAATACCACTAGTTTAGATTAGTAGAATTTAATTCGGATCTCAGATCACGTGGATATAAGCATAACTATTCACTTCTCATAATCTAGGTTTAACATAAATGGTTTATTAGTATTTTACCATAACTACTGCTATACTAGTTTTGGCTTGATAACTCGTTACTCATTTTATCAAAATATTTGTTGAATACAGATTCAGTAAAGAAGAGAAAGAGAAACGTCATCCATATGCCTGGATACCTTTTGGTGCTGGTCCTCGTAACTGTATTGGTATGAGATTTGCATTGATGGAAGCAAAGATTGGATTGGTTCGTGTACTGCAGAAGTTCACCTTCGAACCCTGCGCGGAAACTCAGGTAAGAGACCTTAGATCCAGAGGGATAGAAAACACAAGCAAACAGCAAAGAAAATTAAAATGTTCGCTGTATCATCTAAATTGTAAACCCCGTATTTTATAAAGCAGAGAAGTCATCACCTGCGCATACGTCATATAGTCATAGTGTCATTATTTACAAACAAGTGTCTACCCATGAGCCTTTGCATTTTTTAACATGCGTCGTTATCATCGCTTTACAGCGAGTGCAAGATATATTTACATACACCTAACTCCCTCACCCGGTAGGTAATTACCAAGGGACTTAGCAACATCCCCAGACACTTTCCTAAAAGAGCAACCAGGCCAGGTCAGATTAGAATTAGGAATACCATTTTTTCTGTTTTATTTACATATTTACAGATTCCTCCTGAACTAGGGAAGATGGGTTTGCTGACTCCACTCGATGGAATTAAATTGGGCGTAAAAAGAAGAAAATGAATTCAGACATACATGTATTGTCACCTCTATTAGTTTTAAGTGATTCATGCGGTAATAATTTCGTGAATTAGTGTGATTTTTTAGTTTATATTAACATTGAATGCAATTTTATGATCATTAAATTAGATGTAGTATTAGTTTCCCAGTGTCCATTTTGTTTTGTGGTCATGTTTTATTATCAATATCAAAGATTGCTGAATGTAAACTGTTCACTTTTGTTTATGCTCTTATCATTCATAACTGTGTGTTTTGTCTGGTGTTTTTTTGTTTTTATAGTGTTTGTCTGTTTTTGACTTGTGTACTAAATATAATATCTTTAATATTGTCTAGTTTGTAATGTTGTAGTGGCAATTCATGCAGTTGCTTTTGCAATACAACTACTATAACTGTTATACAAAACCGTTTTGTCTTTTTTTTTAACTCAGAAGCATTAGTTATTATTAAATTATGCATGGATAGTTATGTTAATATTACAGATATATTGGAATATGCCACACAGTAACTTTAATTGACATCTTGAATTTGCGCCCAAGTTCACAGTAGAAACATAAATGACACAAAAGACCTCCAGTTGACCATCTCAGTTTGGATTGCGACGAAGATAAACTTCCGATGATGTAAAATAACACAATTATTTGTGTACTAAATTTGCATCTAATTATATCTACTATGGTGTTCATATGTGATGATTACATTAGAATTTGCAAGTACAAGGTATAAACATTATGACCCTTGACATCACCGAGCTATAGTCTCCAACAAATTAAAGGGCCATAAATAGAATTTTTCAGGGGAGATTTTTCAATCCATTTCATATACAATTTTAGCATGAAATGTTATCTTTTGATTGAATTAATTCTTCATATCTACTTATTTACATGAAATTAGTAAAGTCCATATTACTCATTGTTTTCACCAAGTTCGGTTTTTATTAGCATTATGTGTAATAAAAACAACAAACATGGCCTGTGTGGTTTGTACGAGGTATTATAATTGACTGGTGAAGATGGATGGTCATAACAATTTTTAATTCCGGAGCTCCCATACAGGATTAATGGTAAATGGACTTTATACTTACCCCGGTACCAGCAATCATTTAAGGCGCTGCATGTTCCAAACAGTTACTTCTTTTGTTGTCAAGAACATTTAGCTATCCAAAGTGAAAGCAATATTTCAATGCGCACTTTATGTACAACTGTGTATCCCCCCCCCCCAAGGAGTTTCATTTTATATTCATTGGAAACTGACTTACAATTGTTAGATGCACTTTTCGATACCACAAGATTCATCTAACCTGGGGCATGCACATTCCCATGGAATTAAATTAGCAAAATTACAATATTTTCTTTAGACGAGATATTGAGGTAAAAAAAAAAAGAATTTTTTATTGCAACTACTCATTCACACACAAGAAAAAATTTACATAATTGGTTATATATATAGCTATTTACCTTATTTTGAATATCACAGATTGCTTGAGTTACAAGACAGAAATGTGAGGAGAGACGAAAATTATTTTAACATTGGGCAGCACACTATCACACTAAAACATTGCCCCAATCAAAAACTATGAAATGTTTCATTACCTTGAAACTGCTTTATACATATTCATACTACAGAACTATGGATGGATGTTTCAGTCATTTGTTAGCGTATGGATCGGATGTTGTGGACAACAATGGAGTGGCATGGACATGAAATACATAGTTTTGTGACAATCTACTATGATCAATGCATGTTAAAAATTATTGTGAGATTTACAAAGTTGTGTAAGTTGTGCACATGACTAACAACCTGCAGCAGTTCACATTCTACATACAAATACGAGCCATAT